AAAAAAAAAAAAAAAAAAATAAAAAAAAAAAAAAAAGAAAAAAAAAGAAAGAAGAGTGTCAAAATCTACTGCAGAGCAAAGGAAATTCGTCAGCATTATTTAAGGCATTTTAAAATGAAAATCAAGAAAGATAAATGGATAAATGTACTGGACTCCAGAGTGAAACTGCTTGCTTTTAACCATAGATTCCCTAAGTTGAGCATAAAAGGAGAAAAATGTTAAAAATGAAGAAAATGGAAAAAATCATCGCCACTGTAAATGGAAATCAGTTCTTCATACAACAAACAATATACTACTGATAGGGTAGTAGGCAAAAATGGTATTTACAGAGCAATATGGAAATGTCTTCCATGGCATGACTGGGGATGGGTGTCCAAAAGTACCCTGGCTTGAAAGACTGTAGCCTGCCTTTTCCTATAAAGCTTTTGTGTTTGCTATTGCTATTCGCAATTTTTTTATTGCTTTCCTCCCACTTTTAAACATATTTGTTTGCTGGCTTCACTGTGCCACTAGAAGAACAATCACAGATTTTGTCAACAGAGTAGAAAGACAGTGTAGTAAGCTAAGTGCAGCCAGGAAATCAAGACTGGTCTCGATTAGACAAAAAAAAATTAGTTTAAGGTTTTAATAATAATAAGTTTTAATCAAAAGGTAAATATCCCAATTCAGAACTATTCTCTCCTTTCAAAATTCTTTCTATACAATATAGTAAGAAGAAATTCCATATCTCTGAACACAATAGATTATATATCCCCAGTGCAAACCACCTCTGTTCAGACCTGGAACATCATACTGTGTGTGTGAGTCATATGGAAAAACTGGTGCCTGGTCATGTAATTAAAGTCTGTTATGTAATTCGCACCTCGATGCTGCAACTACAGAAATTCACATGGGAACCAAGAGTACAAGGAATAGCAGTAGCAAACAGCCTAAGTGTCAAGAAGCACAGAGAATTGAACAAGAGACCAAATGAATCTCTAAGCTGCAAAGTGAAAGCCAATAAAGACATTAAAAAAAAAAAAAATCTGTTTTTTTTTGTTGTTGTTGTTGTAGATGAAAAGTGTCTTGACAATAATACAGAGCCCCAACCAGACAGAAGTGACAGAACTGCTGATATAGCAGACAGCAAGTCTTTCACTATCTGAATGCCAAGGAAAAAATCATCTCATCCCAGAGATCTCTGTCATTCGGTTTAAAGAAAGGCCAAGTATTATGTCAACAGATTCAAATGACATCTTGCAAAGTATCACATCATAAGCTACGAATATGGGGAATATTATAAGGGGAAAAAATGTGTTTTTGCAGTGCTTTAAAAGAATAATCACCACAAAAACGTTGCTGATGGACTTGTCAACTCGGTTTTGATCTTGGGTAGAACAACTGACATTAACTGGTTAGCTTTATAATCACAGCTTTAAAAAGCACCTGTTTTTGCAAGTTATATTAAATTTTAAAAATAAGAATTAAAAGAAAAAATAAAAAGAGAAAGATTTATAAGGGAAACAATTTTCTTGGGACTGGAAAACAGCAGAGCAGAGATATGACCATTCTTATCATGTTGTGAAGGGTGTACTCACGGGGAAGCCTTCCTCTTGTGCTCCTGTCCAAATTCTGCTAAGGATTTTTATTAAGATGAAAAGGATAAGTGAAAGGATAAGATCTATAAACTGTGTTGTAGGCATCATCCCAAACTCAGGTTTTGCTGATCTTCAGGAGAAACATTTTAACTCCATTAGTCCTTTAAATGAGTTTATCCAAGAAATTAATGAGGTAATTTGATTACAGCCTACAAGTACTTACATTATTAGAATCCCAAAACATGAAAAAATCTGTTGCAAAGCCAGAATTGTCAAATGACCAGTCCAGCCAAGCTTGGAAATAAATTGTACATTTCTAACCACGATGGGAATTGTTCATTGGAACAGACTGTGGAGCATAACAGTATCTGTTATTTGGCTTCATTAAAATAAATTGGGTAGCTTTCTAAAAGCTTTGCCTTTTCTCACTACTTTATATATTTAAAACCTCTGAAATAACAAAAAGACATGCTTTGCCTTTCTGTGAGCAGAGGCAGCTAAGTGTTCTGTCTGCTCTTTAGTTGTCATTCTTCTTTGTAAAATACCTACAAACACTTAAGTGATTGTCAAAATGCAGAGTTTTGCTGATGCAAAGCACAGTTTTACACAATTCTTTTACTTTTTTTTTTTTTTTTCTAGCACGTTCATATACATTTCTTTTCTTTGTTTCATTTTTGCTAGGACTTTTAGGTGAAGATGCACCGCTGCCAGCGCCTCAGAACATCTCTATTCTTTCTACCAACATGAAACATTTCTTGATGTGGAGCCCTGTGACCTTCCAGGGAGAAACTGTGAGATACTCTGTTGAGTTTCAGGGGTAACTTCTGGTTTCTGTTTTTAGTTATGTTTTTTTCCTTCTTTGCTCTTTGAACACCAATTACAATCCCACACCGCTTGGATTTCTTGAATACTGTTCAGCTCACAAGTGTAGAAGTTTGATGCTCCAGCACTGTTAATAGCGAGTAGGAAGAATACTCAGGTTTGGTCTGAGATTGCTTACAGACCAGGCCTTATCAACTGCTGGTTGTAAAGAGATAGCTGCATAATCCAAGGCATGCACTAACCTCATGTATGCAAACTGCCTCTGTCTAAAGAATTAGGAAGATTAGCAAAAGTTTATTTAGAAAAGGAAGGAGAAAAGGCTTGAATTTTTTTCAGTGTTATTCCTTTAAACATATTACACATATCTATTTTTCTTCAGAAAACATACGAGATTCTGATTGATCTCAAGCTGTGACTTATGTCATAGTTTGGCCTTTGAAATCTGATTCACTGGAGATAATCAAGTGACTGGGCAACATCTGTGGCATCAACTCTGGGATGCTATTCCCCATGATGCTTTTGGCTGATGAACAAGCTAACTCCAGGAGAATTTCTCTAGATAAAATCTAAAACACATTCGTACTGGTTTCATAAACTCCCAATAATCCAACCCATTGTATCCTAGAACTGGTCTTGGAAAGAACTAGCAAGCAGCCTTAGCCCATAGGGGATGTGACAAGGGTACCTCCTGTCAGAATGCTGCCTCTTTGCTTTCTTTTCCCCAGGGAATATGAACGAGAGTACGCTAACGAGAGCTGGATCCCCATCTGTGAGTGTTCCCTCATCACAGTCACTGTATGTAATATCACAGAGGATATCTCAGCCACCGTGGCCTATAACCTGCGCGTAAGGGCAGATAATGGTGCTCAAAGATCAGAGTGGGGCACCCTGAAAGGTTTCTTCATTCGAAATACAAGTAAGTCCTGACATTGACATTAAACTGCACCAGTTACATTCATTTCTTGATGTCTGATAATAAGAGTGAGCTCTCGTGCATATCTGTGTATTGTACATGTGAATTGAAGCCTGCACAGAGCGCATCCTACTTCTCAACTCTTCTCGTGCTGAGTTGGGATGTTTCAACCTTAGACAGCCACACCGTGGTCTTGGATATCAGTCCCTCCATAGGCAGAGCAATATTTACCAGGGCTTGAATTTCAAGGGCTTCAAAAAAGCTAAGAAGACTCTAGGCATTCCTCATAGCAGGCTGACCAGTCCTACTGCTGATTTCAAGGAGTACTGATCAAGTGGGGTTGTTGTCAATGCTCTATCTAATCCATTTAGCCTAGTCATTTTTAGGGTCCAGAACCTGATCCCAGAGAAGCAGGTGCTCTAGAAAACACCCATGTCATCTGTCTGCTTTGCGCTGCTCTGGAAATCCAGCTCTCTTCAAGACACGATTGTTTCCAGCCATGCTGTCAGATAAAGCCGTCTGTCTGAAGCCAGAGCTGACCTTAAATGTTCGTGGATCGCTGGAAGTTACTGCCTCATGAGTGAGCAGCCCTCACCCACAGAGAGCACTTAGTAAAAGCAGCCCCTCAGAAATACCACATTAAACACTGAGCGTGTCTGTTGGTGTAGCATTGATTTCTAGGTGGTGCTTTGGGTGACAAATCTTTCCCTTTTCCAAGAGCTGTTAACACAGAATTGAGTGCAGACCATGCTGTTGAGCAGAGACAGAGGAAGGATATTCCTTAGCTTAACTCTCTTTACGGACAAGAACAGCAACTTTCTCACTTTCCTTGTTATCCCTTTTCCCAAGCAGATCTCAGAACGGAGCAGTCTTTTTATCAGGGGATAAATTACGATTTTGACACAGCAGCTACAATTGGCATCAGATCCTTCTTAGTTATCATGAAATAAGATACTAATGTGCCAGAGATTGCATTTATCCTGAGATTCGAACTGTTCATGCACTGGTAGTTATACAGCTTCCTTCTTCAGTTCAATCAAAACTCCCCATCGAAAGTATTTAAAAGCTAGCTAATATAATTGGAAAATCTGTTCTTTTGTCACGCCCTGACTGATAGAGTGGATTATCTCACAAGTGTTCAGGAAGGATAATAATCAGGCTTCTGAGGGTTTCTACAGCTTTGATCATAACGCAACAGACCCCAATCATTCAAGGACCTTACAGTCTTCCACAGCAAATTATCAGGCCCACAGCAGATTATTAGACGTAAATTGTTTCAAACAATTCAGGATTTCAGACCCCATTGGTCTGCTCCTGACTGGAGCATCTTGCCTTTCTGTAAGCAGCTCTGCCTCATCAGCTCCTGCCAGCTATTTCATTGCTGAAGGATTCATAGCAGACCATGGAGAACCCTGTGAAGTCCAGAATTTTTCGTTCCCCAAACTGCTGGAGCCAGCAGCATCTCCTAAGATTTGAACTGCGGCTTTGGGCAGTTCCCTTTCTGGTCACCAAAAGGCAGTTGGTATGCTGCACATCTGTTTATCAGCATCCAAGCTCCCTCCTCCCTCCAGCTCCTCACCAGCTTTGTTCCACAACCTGTTTCTTTCAGCTGGCATCTTTATTACCTCTGCTGTAGTCTGATATCAAGTCTAGAACCAGCACTGAGGAAGACATAGCACAACTAGGTACTTCCTTTCCTATGATTTTGATCCTCTTTCTTTGAGAACAGGCTACCCAGAGTCTACTTGGCTTTAGGCTTAGGCAACCTTGGCACCTAGTTGCCAGGTGGGATCTCAGGCAGTTACAGTCTGTGGGTTGTGTTAAGACTCATTTTCAGCTAGAGCCCATCTGTGTGGTCAGAGCTCAGTATCTCAGGTTCAGTATCTCTGAACTCAGGAAGGAAAGATCCCACACTGCTGTGACCAATCTGGCCATGTTCAGTTGGTGGTAGCTCTCCTCAGTACCCAGAGGTCACCTCACATAGCAAGTACACTTTGCATTTACATTTAAGTGTTTCCATTGAGAGAACCCACTTGCCCTTTCACATTCACAGTAAAGAATAAAGATAGCCTGTATCAAGATCTATTTGCAGGATCTCCAGAGTGACCACCTGGAATTCCGTTCACACCTTTTTTAAGGGATAAGCCATCACAGAGGCTTCCCAGTACTGTGAAGTACTTGACAGCTTGGTCCTGTGTCTTAGAGACCCCTGGGCAATCCTCTTGCTAAGCTGTGGAACTAACAGTGTAGTTGATTTTAGTTCTTCATTTGTCACAGTTCTGATAGTTAGTTGGTATCCAGTCCCCCAGCGCAAGAGATAAATGTTAAACAATTGTGTTTGGTTAGTATTTGTGTCATACAATATTCATCTGTTAATACCCAATATTATTTTTAACCTCTGAATGGTGTCAGGTTTTTTTTTTCTTGAGGCGTCATCATGTTAAGCATACTGACAGCTTTCAATTTAAAAGTACGAAGTAGTTTTCTAAGCCTCACTTTTGTGGCACATTCATCATAAACATATTTTGATTTCATATTTTCATATTGTTCAGTATCAACAGCAATTCACTTTGTGCAAGAGCAAATTCTATTAAGAACATCTCTTCTGTATGTTCTGTATGCTCTACTTCCTTTCTTGAAAGCAAGAGGGCTGAAACCAATTTCAGTACAACAGAGTGGTAAAGAATGGCACTGGTAAGTAGTACAAACACAATCTTTGTATTCCCTTGATTCCAAATTCATGAACGTACAGTGCATAGTTTCATCCATGCTTGACTGATTCTGACTGTTCCTCACAGCAGAGTCCCAGACCAAACCAAGCTTTGAATATGAAAGTGAGCATTAAGCACATCACCAACAGATTTACTTGCAACAAAAACACATCACAGCAGGACATCAGCACACCCAAGTCCTTCTAAAAGCGTACAGATACTGGATCATAATGAAGATTCATGTGAACAGACTGAATTAATCCTAGGGCTTTATTTGCTTTCTCTTCCACCTTTGAATTACTGCCAAATTTCACATGAAGGAGCAGTGGTTTCACAGCTCCTGTTCTGTGCACTAGCACTAAGCTAATGCCCAAAAGCAGAACTGAGCTGGTGTGGTGTCTCAACTTCTGGTTGCCCAGCTGGTTCTGCTGCTGATCACATGGGACCCTCAGGCCAGATGCTTCATCCACTGGAGAAAATTCAAAACCTTTCAAGTCCGTGCTAGTCAGCTATTGCCAAATTCCTATTCAGAATACCAGTCACATAGCTCCTCCTGCTCAAATTCTGCTGCAAAATCTAGACAAGCTGGGAAGCAGGGCAGAGAGGTTTCTCCTCCATCGAAGAAACCAGCTATTATTCCAGATAATTGTTAGTGTGCTCTTGATGGCAGCTGGAGGACAGCCATGGCAGGAGCCTCTTGTTTTCCTAGGCCCAGGCAGACTTTTTTGAAGATTTACTTCTGATGTGATAACAGTGCTCTCCCTCCTTTGGCAGCTCTTCTGACACCACCTCTGATGAAGGCCATAGCAGATGGGTATCATCTACTAGTGGAGCTAGAAGACATGGGACCTGCCTTTCAGTTCTGTGTTCTCTACTGGGAGAAGGGCCAGGAGAGCAGGGTGAGTTTACCCTTGGATTTTGGCATGAAGACAGAGCCCATGTGTCTTAGAGCAAAAGCATAAAAACACTTCCCAGGCACTGTTTTTCAAGTTCAAGCTGCTGCTGCAAGGCTGAAGCACCTGTCTGGAGTCAGTGTGTGCCATACTCCTCTGTGCTGCAAGCTGGTGCTTTACTGCTCCAGCTTAATGGAACAGTTGGCTTAATGGGATTTTGAAATTGATTTCCTTCCTTTTTGGAAATCCAACTAAATGAGATGAACCTATCCTACAGGCTTGTGTCTGATTTCCTTTCACAAATGAAATGCTAACTGCTTAATATATAAGATCTTAATGACCTAAGCATTAATTCCAAACTTCATAATAGTTTTTACCAACTGAACTGTCACAGACACCAGGTTTACTGGTCAGTAAACTAGAGAGAGATATTGGTTCATCTGCTGTTTGAAGTTGCAGAAGTGTGTTACGGTTGCACACTCCAAGTTTATTTGCTCCTTACTAGCCCAGTTCCTCTCTGTACTCCAGAGTCAACAGCACAACTCTTTCACCCCTATCATATTAGAACAGGCAGGATATTGGCATCCATATTGGCATCCCCAGAATAACTCAGACCCCACATCAGAGAGAGTAGGTCATGGGCTAGTGCTGTGGCTGAACACCATCAATAAGCTCACGGCTTTCCTTGCGCCCCCTCCTACCTTTCCTGGCACGTATGATCTGCACTTCCCTGTGCTCCTTTTTATTGTCTCTTCCTATTCACACAGTCCTCTCTGACACCACCTGCTCCTGTTATTCTTCTCTTTTCCCCCAGCAAAGTCTGGGCTAGCACATTAGAACTCCTGCTGTCATTTAGGTCCTTGCCCAACATTCTGGTGTTGTCTTTCCTGGGCCTACGGCAGATGCAACAGAAGATGGTGAAGGAGATCAGCTCCACCATTCATCTGGCCACCATGGAGGCAGCAGCTGAATACTGCGTAAAAGCCCAGACATACGTTGAGACAATCAACAGGAGCAGCAGCTTCAGCCAACCACAGTGTGTGAGGGCACAAGGTAACAGCCAGCCTTCCTGCATCTTCCAGTCCTGTAGTCATGCCCACTAGGATATGGATATCCCAGCAGCACTTCTTTGGTTTGCAGCCAGCATCTCAAGGTCAGGCTGGACTAGGCTCTGAACAAGCTGACAAGCTGCAGATGTCCCTATTCATTGCAGAGGAGTAGGACTAGATGACATTTAAGGTCTCTTTCAACTCAAACAACTGTACGATTCTGTGATCTAAGATTACCTGTCCTGTTTGTAAATGTGCCACCCATGTGTGCTCCAAGGAAAATCTGGAGTGCAGCCCCCTGCAGTGGCATAGGTATCCCTCTGTAGAGTGTGGTGACAAAAAAATCTCACCAGAGCAGATTGGAAGGGCAGCCAGAGGGCTGAGTCTGCACTGAGTAACTCATGTTCTCACAGGCTAAGAATTTTGTTGCTTCTCTTGTCTTCAGGCAGCAGATCCACGTGGCCCATCAGTGTCCTTATGTCCTTTGCTGGCTTTGCTGTGGCTGCCTTGACCCTGTCTTTCCTTGTCTGGAAAACAAGGAAAATCTTCCAGGATTCCTGCTGCCCCATTGCTGTCCTGCCAGACACACTGGTAACATTTTCATTTTGTTTTTAGTGCACCGGATTATTCACTGAATTGTGGGGCAGGCAGAAAACACAGACAAATACATAGGAAGGCTTGCTTATTGTACTGTAATGGAAGAGCTGGTATTTAGGGAAAAGAGCAAGCAAACCTTTCAACATAGCTTCGTAAATTGGTAGCAAAGAGTTCATGTGAGCAGGCAGCTGTATTGTAGGATCAGGCAGCCCACATGGGGTGGCTGCATTGCTGCCACTGCCTAGAGCACTAGTGAACAGAGACGGTGCTCCTGCTGCTTGTGGGGAAGCAGCTTGGGAAGCGCAGGCTGACCAGCTGCTCCTCAAACAAAACAGCTGTGTCACTGGCAACACAGCTCCATGTCCTCTGGCACCAGCAATAAGCTCTTAATTCCTTGGTGAGGAGCAACCAGTAATTAAAACACCCTCTTGTCTTCCTCTTACAGAAGGAGTATATTTAAGTCTGTAGCTTGTCTGTCTTAAGTGAGAATGTAAGGCAGCACCTTTTGTGGTCCTGGTCTGAGCCCCAGGTCTCTGTCTGCTTGCAGCAGGCAGGATGAGAGGAAGCCTGTGGGGGAGAGGCCGAAGTAAGAGTGCAGGCTCATCAGTCTGAGAGAATGAATGAATTTGCCTTACAGAAAGTGCCGGAGCCCCACAGCCAACTGATACTGTGCAGGAGGGAAGAAGCTGAGCAATGTGATCTGATGGTGCAGGTGATCCCCTCAGAAGAGGTTCTTTGCCTGTGGATTCAGGAAACACTTTAAGCATCCTACTAAAAAAAAAATAAATAAAAACCAAAAAACTTCTACAGACCAAACAGGATGTGCTTCAGTGTCTTCAGAGTGCCAACAAGTAACTCTGTTCTTTCTGCCAAATCTGCTGCAAAGAAGTCTCTGTATGAACACGTGGCTGGCTCTCATCTCTTCCTAACTTCATTCATCCACTGAAAAGCTGGAAGGGACCCAGGTGACAACTGCCAGTTTCTGTACTTCTCCTTCATATCCATACCCATGAGCAGACATGGGTTAACTCGTGTTTCCTTCACAGTCACATTGATGGTCCCAAGGCAAAGCCCACACTTAAGCCACCAGCATTTCACCAGCACAGTGTATGTAGAGCTCAGATGCTGAGTCCCAAACCACTTCACTGTCAGTAATTTTGCCTCAGATTTTTTTTTTTTTTTTAATAAAAGAAATGAAGCTGCCAGTAAGAGTTCCTTGCATGGTTAACACAGCTGAAATGAACTGAGATAAAATGCTGTCGGAGCTGCAGGCCCCGGACATGAAATAAAAATTTGTTCCATGTGACAGATACCAATGCATGATGCCATAGAGGAAAAAGGTTGTTAAGGATGAGATGTTTAAGTGGGAGGTGACTGGAGCTGAAAAAGCAGGGGAAAGGGGGAAAGAAACAGAAAGAAGAATAGAAAGATATATAGATCATGCAGTCAGGGCCATCTGAGGTGCATGCTGGGCAGCCCCATGGTTCAGCTACAGCTGAAGCAGGCTACTGACTGCATCGTGAACAGCAAACCTGATTCTGCAGCCAGGAGGGCTGGAGGGAAATCAACAGGAATGCTTAAATAGAGAGGAAATATCAGGAAGGATGCGTGAAGCATCCCAGCATGACCACATCACAGCCCGTTTTAGACCTGATGACACCATTTTGTTCCAGATAGCTTATTATCATTTCTGCCTTCAGGAAGGAAATCTAAAAAGAGAAGTCCTGCTACAGAGAAATAAGATATAGTTCTTTTGCATATACTGTAGCGATGGCTGTTGCTGCAAGGATAAGTCATTTAACACCTGCTCAGCAGAGACTTATGCTGGGAGGGCACGGGAAAGCTTTGATCTGAAGAGCTGCTTTTAAAACTACCGGCGGAACTAATGGAACGCAGCAGAGCTTTTCCTCACAGAAAGCACCTCGACTTTCATTCTTGCAAAGTCAGCTGAGGCCGCCAGGTGGTAGCAAAGCACCGTGAGGGCAGCAGAACCGACGGAGCAGAGCTGTGCGCTCCCCCGCCGAGGCAGCCCCTTCCGAACCCCCCCGCAGCCCGGCTGGCATCTCGCTCCGAGCCGCACCGTCGCTTGCTTCTGTCCTGTCTTACCAGCTTCTGTCTGGACAACGCAAGAATCTAGTCACTAGGAGTTCAGTAACCATTAGTTTGGCTCTGATGGGTTTGTAGCAGAATATAGGGTAAGAAAATCTGCACAAGCCTGAGCACTGGCTCAGCGTGGATGCTCAGGTTATCACTAATTAATTGGGAAATGGTGAGGCACAAGCACACGTATAATAGCAGCTCCAGACAACTGCTGCAGCAAGTCCCTGCTGCTCGAGCTGAGCTGGGGGCTGCAGCAGGGGACAACAGCAGCCGAGTGATGTGGGGAGCTATGGGCAAGGAGGGAAGTCAGCACATAGCTGGTATGGGCTCTTTGTCAAATGTCTCCTCAAACAGCATCGCCCAGATCTGTCTTACAGTCAGTGACCTTGGTGGTTTAGTGAGCTCCCATGCTTCACATCTGTCCTGATTTTATTTCCATGGGTTTGGATAAGTTCAGTGTTTTAGTTTCTACAAGGGTGTTCACATAAAGGAAATTGTCCTGTTGCTTGTCCAGCCCACGGCTATTATTTGGAAAGCCTTAACATTCCCTCCTATCTCTTTCCCCTCCAACACTGTTGCATTACAGCTCTGTCAGCCACTGCTCAGGGAAACAGAAAAAAGCAGGAAAAGGCTTTATTAATTTGAACAGGAATGGCTTCGGAAAATTATTTAAATGCATATTTTCCAGCAGCGTATTAAGCATAGTGAATGTGTTTCTTTCTCATTGCAATAGCAGATTTTATGACCTTCTTCACTGCCAATAAAGTGGTTTAACAGTTGCACAATAATGCCCAGGCAATTTTAAAAGTCACATCTGGAAGAAAAAGAAAATCTGACAGCAGAGAGACAGGAGGGAATTGTTTACGTGTTGCTGCCATCTTAGCAAGACAGTGCTCCATTTACATCAGGATATTCCTGTTTGTGTCTGCGGAGACATGAAACCAAATCTGAGATGCTGACTGAAAGAGCCTGGAAAGTTTCCAGCTTTGAAGAACACACTGCATTTTGCTACGCCTGAAAATTAGGGGGTAGAACAATAGCAATTATTTGCCATCCCTGCATGTAGAAACACAGTGGCACCACATTAGGGAGCTGCAGTCAGTCACTCCTTCCGTTCATTTCCACGCACTGAAAGAGTTAACGGTGCCTTAGCAGTCATGGCAACGGCTGCCTTTGATAACTGATTTTGCTCCCACGACCATAATGCCACATTTCAAAGACAGGATCAGACAAGTAATCGCAGCAAAAAGCCACAATGAACTTTGTTCATTTCCATTAGGGTGGTGGTGACTCCATTTCTTTCTAAATACAAATTTCTTTGTTACTTTCCTCATAAAGCGTCACACGGAAATAAAGTACAAACTTGCATCACCTTGTCACTGCATTTGATTCTTAAGCTGCGTGTAACCTGTGGGATGCAATTCCTCAGCACAACCTTTCCCTGCACACTTCCCAAGAGCAGAACAGAAGAAGTGTCAGTAAGACCTTTTCTCAAAGAAAAACCACCCAGTCCGTGGAACACAGATCAGCATCAAGTGTTGATTACATGAACTTTTAAAAGGGTTACATGATATTACTCAACTGACAAGAAGGCGAGAAATTCAATTACCTGTTCCATAACACTAACACTGTTCCATAACTGGCTAGAATACAGTCTAATTTTTCCTTTAAGTATATTTCCTTAGAAGTACATTACTGCTGGCAACTTTTAAGGGCTGCTGACATTAATAAACAACCCAGCATTTCATTCTCCCCTTGAGATCTTTAATTTGATATACTGTCATTTTCTTTAAAAAATGAAAAAAAAGAAACCAAGATCACTGCTTTTTCAGGACTATAAATTGATTTCAGTTTCTTGTGAAGGTGATATACTGCAAATGGAGTGCTACAAAGATCAAAAATATTTAAAAGGTTGCACATAAAGATGTTTATTATTTAAAGACTTACGTAGAAAAGTCTACTGCTATCAGAACACAACTGCAGAAACAGAAAACAGCCCAATTCAGACTTGTTATGGGTTTCTCAATAAACAGAACTATAAAAGTATTCAGAAATCTCTAAATCAAAGTATAAGTGGACTTAAAAGATGGCAAGGTTAAGTGAAATTGCCCAAATAAGTACTGCACATGTAGCTCTAATTTGGTTTCCTTCATTATATGGGCTGTAAGTCAGCTCTCGGCTTAGAAGCGGCTATTTCTGAGAGTGCGTGCTCCTGATTCACTGACCCACACGTACAGCTGAGGACGTGCTCCCACAGCACAGGCCAGCAGGTAGGCATCCTGCTCATCCTCACAAATGTTAGCCCCTGAGCAAAGTCTGACAGGGAGCTAGAATAAAGTAGAGGAATTAAGAACCTGACAGCTTCCCTGGCACACCTGCACTTCACAGTGGTAAAAGCCAACTGTGTGCCAACCAGAGAGGTGCTGGGCTCACTCTAGAGCCTGCTGTGCCTCCCCCTGCTGCACATCCAACTGGTTGGTGTTTCCTTAGCGTGGAGCCAGGAGGAGAGTGACAGCTCACAGCTCTGTGAGGAGGCTGTGGGCAGCAGGGCCATCCCCCAGCAAGGCACAGACCCCTCTGACCTGTGCACTAGAAGAGAGAAAGAGGCTGTAACTGGGGCCAGACACATGGAATAATCAATGGCAATGAATGAGGGTAGAACACGAACTCAAATATAGTTTCCTGCAGGAGGGAGAATGGTAATAAGCCTCATCACAGCTCTCACACAGCAGTCTGACCACAGGAAATATAGGTACACCACATCAGAACTGGCTTTGGTCACAAGCCTGTGGCCTACTGAATCCCACATGTTCTTAGCCTCCTTTATAAGCAAGCTGGAGCATTTTCCCTTGGGACACAAGCAGCATTTTTTTTTATTTTTATTTTTTTAATTTTTTTCCAAACATCTCTACAATATCCTTTAATTCACTAGAAATCAGAATCAAGAGAACTAAGAGAACTGCCCTGGCTGACCAGTTTGGGATGAACTCGCACATCATTCACCAGGGGTTTGCCTCAGGTCTGTGACACTGCTACCACCAGCCACCTCTAATTGCATGGCTTCCTATCTGGACAAAAACAGTCTCAACACCCATAGCAGAAATAAAGACAAAAAAAAAAAAAAAAAAATCAGATGTTGTGTTGACTTCAAGCAATGGTACCACAGGAAGATTAGACAGTTCATTAAAAACAAAAGGTAAATCTTAGCAAGTAGATTGAGGCCCTCTTAAAGACACAGACACTTAAAGAAAATGTATTCTACCTGTCAGAAAAGAAAACCTTAAGAACAGAAGAAACTTGGTATGGTGAAATAGCAAGGTCAGGGAAGATGATAGAAGCAACAAGGAGTCCTTCAGAAACCTGAAGTTATGTCCAAGTGAGGAAAAGAAAAAAAAAAAAAAAAAAGAGGGATCACAGTTTCATTCTGATTAGAAGTAAACACGTAGTAAATCAAGACAAAAAGAATTTGAGATACAACTTCTTAAAAACATCTAAACTAATAATAAATCCTTTTCCAATTACATTAGAAACAGGATGCTTGCCAAGTAGTCTACAGGGCCAACAGATGGTGGTGTTACCACGCAGCTCTCAGAGGAGTTAGAGCAATAGAATCATAGACTATCCCAAATTGGAAGGGACCCATAAGGATCATAGAGTCCAAAT